TCTAAGACCTTCTTTAATAATAACCGCTACCCCCCCTCCCCTCCCCTGTGACCTCAGCTGATGGAATGTGTGGAAACCTGGTGGGCACATTTCAACGAGGGGACCCCCCCCTCCTGGCCCAACCAGGTCTCTTTAATACCTGCCAGGTCCGCTCCCCCCTCCTGAACAAGATCACAAATGAGGGGGGCTTTATTTACTACAGACCTGGCATTGCACAACATCAGCCGAAGGCCCGGGCCCTGAGGGTCTGTGCAACCTGGGAAACAAGTGGGGCCTTGGGGGCCGGAGCACGCCACCGCTCGTAAACAGCGAGCGCGCGCTCCCCTGACACGATATAGCTCCCTGCTCCCGCCGTATCTGCCCCTCCCACCCACAGTATTGATGTTAGAAACACTATCTAGATAAGCTCTAATCCCCCCCTCGACCCCGGGTCCCCCACCAAGTGCTGGTTTAAAGATGTTTTATTTTAAACAAAATGTAATTTACAGTAGGTTAGTACTGCAAAAAAACCCCATCTATTTTCAGCATGATGGAATATTGGTTGTGATTCTCACAGCCCCCAGAATGTGAGAGTCAACATTTCATTTGTGGATTTTGATGGATTTTAAGGTGCAAATTAAGTACTTTTAAGCCTTATTCAAGCTTAAGATACCTTTTGTAGCATTGAAATTTCTAATCGCCCTTCAGAACTATTTTTTTGATACATTTTGAAAGTGGTCATAGTTATTATATAAAAACTAATACTAAATTGCCTATATATCAGTTTATTATAATTTAGCATTATAAGTAGCAAATGTATTTCATTGAGTTTTATTTATTGTAAAAATCTTTTGATTAAAATAATCGCAATTCTATATTGTAAATATTCAGATGAATGCTTAGCTGTAGAGTTTTATTTACAGGGAAATCAGAAAAAAAATTTGGAATCAACAGTTACTCAAGTAGAGAAGGAAAAGATGCTCTTGCAACATAGAATTAATGAATATCAAAGAAAAGCTGAACAGGAGAATGAAAAACGTCGAAATGCAGAAAATGAAGGTAAGCTGTATTTTTATTTTGTATATTACAGTAAGAAAACTTCATACAATCATAGAGACTTCGGAGGTATTCTAATCCAATATCCTGTCCAGGGTAGACTTTCACTATCATAAATTTCCATATTGTGTAGTCAAGGTTGATATATAATGAATTTGCATTTCTTTTGTTAGGCATGGTCAAATTTTGTCTTACCAGTACTGGTAGTCCTTGACTTACGACCACAATTGAGCCCAAAATTTCTATTGCTAAGCAAGACACTTGTTAAGTGAGTTTTGCTCCATTTTACATCCTTTCTTGCTACTCTTGTTAATTGAATCACTGCAGTTCTTAAGTTAGTAACACAGTTATAAAGTGAATCTGGCTTCCCCATTGACTTTGGTTGTCAAAAGGTTGCAGAAGAAGATATTGTGACCCTGGGATACTGTAACCATCATGAATACATACCAGTTGCCAAGCATCCAAATTTTGATCATGTGACCATTAGGATGCTGTAATGATTATAAATGTGAAAAATGGTCATGTGCTATTATAACTTCAAAAAGTCACCAAATGAGTTGTTGTAAGTCAAGGACTACATGTACATACCCCAATCTTGGATTCCCTCCCACCAAATTTCAGCAATATCAACAATGTCATATTTGCAACATATCCCCCTCCCCCCCATTTCTACCTTGGTACTGAGATTTCATCTTCTCTATTTTCTTCCCCATTCTCTGAGTATTAGATTACAGTCATTTGAGCCCTTTAGTACTGTCTTTCTTAGGGTTTGCCTGCTTATCTTCTGATGCATTTCTATGGCCCCCTTCCTTCTTATCACTTCCTTTCTTGTTATAAGGCTTACTGTTTTGAGTGTAGTTCTGGGTATTGGTCTTTTACCCCTCCATGATTAATTTAAAGTCTGCCAGATGACCAATGTCAGTAAGATGCCTTTGAAACACATTTTTCTCAATCTTTGTGAGGTAAAGCATATCTTTTACAAAAGCCTTTTAGTAGATAATATATCCTGGTTCAGGAATCTATGGTTTTGTTGATGACACAATTCCTTGGACTAACGTTTCAACTGCAGAATCCTCTGTTCTTTCCTCAGACCATAATCATCAATAGAAGGCATGATTGAAAATGTTTTTTTTTATAAAGTGTTTGCATTTTGAACATTTTATTTCTGCAATTTACCTGAAAATATTAAAATGTATGTTTAAAATGTCTTTCTTTGCTTTTAGCGTCAACATTAAAAGATCAGCTGGAAGACTTAAAAAAAATTAGTCAACACTCACATATTACAAATGAAAAAATTACACAGTTGCAAAAGCAAGTAAGTAATTTTGCATATATTAATTCCCCCTGGTTTGCATACTGCTGTCCTTCACAAAAGCCCTAAAGATCTAGAAATAGTAGTGGAAGCTTGGAACCAACTTCTAGTAGAGGTAGTGGATCAATCATCAATAACTGAGTTTAAACATGTTTGGAATAAATATATGTCCATTGTCTGACTAATTTTTTTTTTTTTTAATTAAAACTGAAACGACAGACTTGACGGATCACTAGGTCATTTTCTGCCATCAGTTAAATGCGTTTCTATTTTCAAGAGACCCTGGATCTTAGGATTTTACTAGTTTGTTATGATTGTTTTAATTATTTTAATGATTAATTATTCCTAGACAGTTGTTTTTCTATTTTGTTCTTCTGTTATTATACTATGGTTTTAGCTTGTCCTATGTGTTACATTGAGTTGCCTGATTGTACTGTTGTTGAAATTCATTTTTTCTCATTAATCTATACTCACTACCCCATAGTGATAAAGTCTGTAAATTTATTAAAAAGAAAAAACTGAAATATCACATTGGCATAAGTATTCAGTTCCTTTGCAACAACACTTGAAATTTAGCTCAGGTGCTTCCATTTCTCTTGATTGTTGATTACATATTTCTACACCTTGATTGGAGTCAACCTATGGTAAATTGATAGGACATGATTTGAAAAGGCACACATCTCTCTATAGAAGGCCTCAAGCTGACAATGCATATTGTAGCATAGCAAAAGTCATGAGGTCAAAGGAATGGCCTGAAGAGTTCAGAGACAGGATTATTGGAAGACACAGATTTGGAGAAGGCTACAATAAAATTTCTGCTGCATTGAAGGTTCTTAAGAACACAGTGGCTTCCATAATTCTCAAATGGAAGAAGTTTGGTACAACTTGTCAAACTGAGCAATCAGGGAGAAGGGCCTTAGTAAGAGAGGTGACCAAGAACCCGATGGGCTGAGCTCCAGAGATCTTATGATTGGATAGAGTTCCAGAAGAACAACCATCACTGCACCCCTCCACTAATCTGGGCTTTATGGCAGAGTGCCTAGATGGAATCCTCTCCTCAGTGCAAAACACATGAAAGCCCAGTTGGAGTTTTCAAAAAAGCACCTGAAGGACTCTCATACTGTGAGGAACAAGATTCTCTGGTCTGATGAAACCAGGATTGAACTGTTTGGCCTCAGTTGTAAACATTATGTCTGGAAGAAACCAGGCACCACTCATCACCTGCCCAATATCATCCTAACTGTGAATCATGGTGATGGCAACATCATGCTGTGGGGGTGTTTTTCAGCAGTAGGGATTGAGAGACAGGTCAGGGTTGAAAGAAAGCTGACGGGAGCAAAGTACAGGGATATCCTCAATGAAAGCCTGTTCCACAGTGCTCAGGAACTGAGACTGGGCCAAAGGTTCACTTTCCAACATGACAATGATCAATCAAGATAACACAATCAAGATAGGAGTGGCTTAGGGACAACTCTGTGAATGTCCTAGGGTTGGCCTAGCCAGAACCCTGACTTGAACCCTATTGAACATCTCTGGAGGAACCTGAAAGTCGCCACCATCCAATCTGGTGAGATTGAGATTGAGAGGATTTGCAAGGAAGAATGGCAGAAAATCTCCTAATCCAGGTGTGCCAAGCTTGTTGCATCATACTCGAAAAGACTCAAGGTTGTAATTGCTGCCAAAGACGCTTCAACAAAGTACCAAGTAAAGGGTCTGAATACTTATGCTAATGTTTCAGTTTTTTATTTTTAATAAAATTATAAACATTTCACTTTGTCATTATAGAGTAGCGAGTGTAAATTAATGAGAAAAAAATGATTTTCAACAACTATAGAATCAGGCTGAAGCATAACAGAATTAACAAAAGTGAAAGAGGTCTGAATACATTCTGAAGGCACTGTAACTAAATCTCTTTTTTTAGGGTAAATATGAGCCATGCTCATTTTAGACTAACCTCTATTTTTTTTCCTAACTCCATTGCTCATACAGCTTGAAGAGGCCAATGATTTGCTGAGAACAGAGTCAGATACTGCAGCAAGATTAAGGAAAAGTCATACAGAAATGAGCAAGTCAATAAGTCAATTTGAATCATTAAATAGGGAATTGCAGGAAAGATGCAGAATTCTGGAAAACACAAAATTACAGGTGGAAAAGGATTATTTCCAGCTACAAGGAGCACTGGAAGTAGAACGAAGAGATAGGAGTCATGGATCAGAAATTATTGGAGAGCTACAAGGTAATAATTTTACCATAGTGTAATTATAAAATGTAAAGTTTTTTTTCTCTGATAGCTTGAAATATAAATAACAATTTCAGACTGAGTTACGTTTATGAATGGTGAAAGCTAAATAAATATAAATGCTCTTATACAAGTGTAAAGACTGCATATGTTATGTAAAACTAAGAATTTGTAGTAGCTGGTTTTTTTTTTTTTTGCAGAATTTCAATACATAATGGACAAATAATATGATCTCATTCTTTGTTTTCATATCTGGAAAATAAGATATTAATTAATTAATTAATTAATTAATTAAATTTATATGCCATCTCACCATCAAAGGATTCTGGTCAGTTTACAATGACATAAATAACTATAAAACAACTGGGTTTAAGGTTAAAAACATAAAACATTGAGGATTGAATAGAAATAGCATTACTGTACAAAAGAATTTATCATGGCAATTATATGCATTCTATGTTACAGACATATTAGACATGAATTGTTGCAATAAGTTACAATATAGCAGCATAAAATAGAGAATCCAGTCTGGCCTTTGGATATGTGTAGAATGCATCCAAATGTCCCTATAGAGACAAAACTGAAAGAAAAGATATATGCTATTAGAACCATGTGGCTGTATCACTTGCAGTTTGACTTTAGATTATATTATGGTCATCTAGAAGTACAGAAATCAACTGTACAACATAATAGAAAGTTGGAGGAGGAAAAGAGAAATTTTTGTAATGTTTTCGTTTAAGAAATGAAAGTCTACTTCCCCAAAGAACTCTGTGATTAAGTTTTAAATCCCATGGGAAAAAAATTCAAACAAAAATGGTACTATTTATTTTTTTATAGCTCCCTATAATAATATGAAAAGTTGTACTTGAGTTTAACATAATATATTGTTCTTACTCATTTATAAATATTTTTTTTTCAATAAGACAGTATTTTATCCTCCAGAGGACATCTTGGCCGTGTTAACTTTAAAAAAAAATTAAAAGCACCTACCATTTTGCAAAACAAAACTATATCCCTTGCATTGTATTTAGTTACAAAAATCTTTGTGGATCCTCATGGGAAGGTAGAGAACATCCTTGAAACTATCTTAAAATATGTGCAGTAAAACTAGATAAAATATGTTTGTTTATGATTCTAAAGAGTTTCCACGTCAGGCAGATTATGAATGAGTCCACTATCCCAATTTCAGATGTGTTTCTGGCTGGAAAAAAAAATGTAGCCTGAGCTTTCTTTGAAGCATTTCTGGCTTATATAGTTTGGGTTTTGAACATGCAAAATTAATTTATCTAAAGCTTTTATATTTTTGTACACTGCTTAGAATCCCACAATATAAAAAGAATGTTCAGAAAAAAATGGTAATTCTACAAATAATGATCATAGTGTGAGAATAAATACTTTCTCTCTTATCCTGCCTTAACTACTCTTGGATCTTTTTATCTTGTACAAATAGTTAAGAAAATCTATTTTTGAACAGAACCTAAATCATAGAATTAAATCCTATGATTTCATTTTTCACAGATATTAAGTATTCATCATAAATACTTTTTACTGAGGGTGAACAATAGATGGTGGGTTAAAATAGCTTTCTGAGGAATAGGTACTTAATGTCTTTCTAAAAAAACCTTTTACTTGTGCTACTCTACAAATGTGTTGGGAAATTTGTGAATGTAATCTATTTGCATCAATAAATATAAATTCTTCAAATTTATAAAGACTAGCATTTTTATGCAAATGTGAATATTCCATATCTGCCAATTTAATTAAATGTGGTCACTTAGACTTTCTTGCATACATTTCATTTTCAATAGTTATTTGCATATATGTGTACCCATATGAAAATATATGTTTACAAATTTTCAGTTTAATACTTTAATGAAAGTTGAGAGCATAGATGGTAAACAATTTTTGTCCATCTAAAGTCATAGATACAGTTAAATATATTTAATTAATTCTGTAGCTCGGATTACATCTTTACAAGAAGAAATCAAAGGTGTGAAAAATAATCTTGAGCGAGTAGAAGAAGAAAGAAAAAAGGCCCAAGACATGCTTAATCATTCTGAAAAGGTAAGGTAACAAAGTAATGAGGCACAAAGTCTTATGTATCTTGGAATAGAATTGTATATTTAGAATAAAAAAATATATCTGCGTATTTTTAGAACTAAAGGTAAATGTACATTTGAAAATATACAAATAGTAAAATTCAGTAAGGCAATGGAAGAAGGGAGAATCAGAAATCAATTTGAGACCTGCTGTTAAATTATAATTATTACTAAATGGTAAGCCATGCAACACTTTGGATTTGTGGGAAAGATAGTTGTTGTATATTGGAAATGGACATAGTACCCACTTGCACCTTATTGAAGCAAGTATGTCTGCAATTGTATAGTCCGAGAAAAGAGAGTAGCTGCCATAAAGTGTAACCACCCCTCTGAACTTCCATTTTGGTTGGCAAAGTGCTGGGTGAGCCCACCCCTCCGAACCTCTGTTTTGGCTGGCAAAGTGCAGAGTGGAGCGGAATAGGCAGAAATATTCCAGAACCTTTGAGGTTTTTCCTAAGGGTGAACAAAATATAAGAGTGATGCAACATTCGTAGTTTCGGAACTAGTTCATAAACACTAGTTCATAAACTAGTTCATAAACACTAGGGGGCGCTTATCAGGTAACTTCGAACGTTTGCTAAGGGAACGCTTGTAACCCAGGGATTACCTATATTCTTTTTAAGTAACTCATACTACATTCAATTTAAAATCATGTTTTTCTTGACATACCTAAGTTTTGCTTTCATTTAAAGTGGGCAGAAGCAGGCTCTTACAGCCATTTTACTTCTTTTGGAAGGTGATCCTGATCTATATTTTAGCTCGTTTATTCATAATTGACCCTACATCCTTACTTCTCTACATCTGTTGAACAGACTGCACCATTTTTATTCAGATCTATTTCATCTTTCTTCTCTTAGTCTCACAGACATGCATTTTTTCCATTTTCTTTCATATTGTTTACCATTTATGCATCTTATATTTCAATTCATAGCTTTCCATATGACACAGTCATTACCCAGTGATCCTATACATATTGACCTCTTCTATCCACCGTGGCTTTTATTATTTAGCAATCTAGACAAATCTTATCTATTGCATCTGTGCCAAATGCAATATTACCTATTAACAGGATAATCCTGGTCCCTTTGACATATTTTAGTTAATATACTGTAAGCAAAATCAACACATAATTTTACTCCAAGTACATTTCACTCTATGCATGCTAGAGTTTAAAAACTATCATTCAAATTAGTATATTATTGCCCATATCCCACAGGCATTTTACTGATACAGACTCAGGATCCAGTAGATTTGTATCAAATAAAAATGTATGTAGGAAGAAGAAAGGTACTGGAAAGTAATGATAAAATATGAATACTTGTCATATTTTGTATATCTGACACCATTTTATACAAAATATCTTGCAGGAGAAGAATAACTTAGAAATAGATCTAAACTACAAACTTAAAACGATACAACAACGTTTAGAGCAAGAAATAAATGAACATAACATAAACAAAGCTCGGTTAACTGACAAGCATCAGTCAATAGAAGAGGCCAAATCTGTTGCTATGTATGGTAAGTTCTTAAAGAATTAGCAAGAATTAATATATATAATTATATATTAATATATAATTAGTGTTTATATATTTCTCTCTTTAAATAATTGGTTGCATATTCCTTTCAAATCTGTGTAGTTTCCTTGGCAACCATCTAGTTTACCACCACCTTCTTTTGGGATTTCCCCTTCCCCCCCAATTCCCTATCTGGCCTGAAGACCTTTGGTTTTCTGATGATTTCCCATTAGAGCAGGGTTAACAAACTCGCGGCCCACAGGCCAGATGCATCATGTGCTGGCCCTGCCCAGTTTAGCAAAGGGGAAAATAGTCCTGATATGTCACATGATGCCGCTGTGACAGTGTGAGTTTGACAGCCCTGCATTAGAGACTAAGCCAGGAGTGTCAAACTTGCGGCCTTCAGGCTGGATGTGTCATGAGCTGGCCACCCCCACCCCCGGTTTTACAAAAGGGGGGAAAGTTGCGATACGTCATGTGACAACATATCATCACGAGTTTGACGTCCCTGGACTAAGCAGTCTAAGATGCATAGTTTTCTGGGCTTGCTGTAAATTTGGGAAATTTCTTTTAGGAAATGGGATACTGGGGGTGTCAAATTAACTTTCAGCATGATTCATCATAGTTCTGGAAATGCAGTAGATTTCTACAGAATATTAATCTACTATTGTAGGAAAGTCTCTTTTACCAGAAACGTGGCTTGGTGTAATGACATTGGGAGATGGAGCGAAGAGACGCTGCTTAGGGAATGATTAGATAAGAGAGGCCATAGCACACATCTATATAATGGGCAGAGAAAGAAACTTGGAAAGGAACCTTACCTTCTCGGGATGTAAATGAGACAGCAGAAGATTTGTATTATCATTCTGACAAAATTCTGTTAATGTAGCCTTACAACAAAGTAGAGTTAAAGTGTCTGGTCATATTTTCTATTTGTCTACCTGGGAAAGCTGATCCCTACTGAGATGTGGAATAGTTATTTTCTGTTATTTAATTACAAAAAAATCTAGGTACCAGTCTCTGTTTCTCATATCATTAATAAGTTAATGATATGAGATAATAACAAGAGAGAACAGCTGGCCATCATTCATGTATTATTTCACTGTATGTAATCTATATGAATTAGGTATATTCCAAATTCTTAATATTTTCTCTCACCTCTCAGTAGGATATCTGAAAGATCTCATGAATACATTCTTTTTTGCTTTTCTAATGTACTTTAAGGTATTTCTCACTTAGCAATCACTTGTTCGGCAATTATTCAAAGTTATGATGACTCTGAAAATGTTACAACTGGTCTTCAAAGTTATGGCTCTATTCCTGTAATCTACATGATCATAATTCGGGCGCTTGGTAACCAATGCACATTTATGACAGTTGTAGTATTCCATGGGCCACGATTGTCATTTGTGATCTTCACAGCCAGCTTCCAACAAGCAAATTGGGAAGCTGGCAGAAAATCTGTAGTCAAGTGACATCACATTTAATGATCCACAGTTATTTGCTTAACAATTGAGCCAGAAATGAATTGATATTGTGACTTGGGCTTAGCGACACATTGGTACTAAATGCAGTAAGTGAGGACTACCTATATTTAGTTTTTGTTGTCTGTCTTTTCTCCCCATAGAAATTGAAAAAAAGGTAAAGGAAGAACGAGCAGCAAGAGAGAAGGCAGAAAATAGAATAGTTCAGATTGAAAAACAATGTTCCATGTTAGACTTTGATCTGAAGCAATCACAACAGAAGATTGAGCACCTTACTGAACAGAAAGAGAGACTGGAAGATGATGTAAGACAGTAATTTCTATACTCATGTGAACATTCCTTTTATGCGTACATGAAAAATTACCTTATTTCTATGAACCCAAAAATCTCTGTAGCTTCAAATCCACCACAAAATTAATTTCACAAATTATTTATTTATAAACTTCCCCACACCTAGAGCTCTGGGCATGATATTCTAAAATCTTTCCTGAATCTTATTAAGCAGTTTTAAATAGAATTGGAAGGCCATTGACAGGTATATGAGACTTCTTATGAAACTACTTGAACCTTTGTTTTGATACATTGTGAAAAAAATAGAAACATTAAAACTTTTTTTAATGATAAGTTCTGTATTAACTTTATCATACTGTAAATAACTATCCCACCCAAATCTCAAATCTTGTTCTATTTCTGATAACCTTCTCTTTCTCAGCGTTGGCGCAGTGGTTAGAATGCAGTATTGCAGGCTAACTCTACTCAACTGCCAGGAGTTTGATCCTGAGGAGCTCAAAATTGACTCAGCCATCCATCCTTCGAAGATCTGTAAAATGAGAATCCAGATTGCTGATCCTTGAGCTGGTCAGGATCGAACTCTTGGCAGTCAGCAGAATTAGCATGCAATATGCATTCTAACCAGTGCACCACTATGGCTCTTACAGAATAGAGTTCATTGTAATTTGGAGGAGTTGTAAAAGTTCATCCAGAAAGTATTTGTTATAAAAAATGGTAATCCATCTGTTTAATTTTCCTGGTTAATCAGATGAGTTGTTTTCATACTTCCTCCTTTATCTGGATCAGAGGAAGTTTGGCTTCAGGCATTAGCTTCTGGGCTCCAATCTCATCTGTGATGTTGTCTTCCCTGAAGACAAATAGAACTAAACTACCATTAATTTTCACCAGAAGTCTCAAAATATTAAAACTTTGGAACTTATTAAGGCAAGCCCTTGTTACTGTATATTACATATTCATATAGAATAGAACTCAAAAGGACCACATAGTTTTCAGATGTTGACCATTTCAGGCCAGAATTCCAGATGTCTGAAGGCAAAATGCCTTTAAAATTTATTTTTAAGCATATTTTGATTGAGATAATTTAATGCAAAGAAAAAAATGCTATAAGTATTGTTTTTGATCTCAGATATATATGCAGCAATCCAAAGCTTAAAATAATGTTTCGGAATAGGCATGGATTGTGCCTGCCAGCAACTTTTTAAAAATACTACCATCTTTTCCTGGGCTCACATGGTAGCCATGGAAGAAAATACATGCTTAAGTTAAGGGAGTGCCAGAAGGATACTACAAGGTGCTTCAAAGCAGTTTTAAGTATTAGCACCTTCTTAATTCAAATATATATTTTCCTGGAATTGTACATTTACAGTGTTAACCCAGGAACCCAGTGTTAACTCCGACACCTGCTTCAAAACCCTTTTCACTTCAGATTCAAATGCTGCCCATCCTTATATAAGTGAATTTAATATAAGGAGTAGAAGTTTCTTAATAATTAAAACATTTTCATTCTTGGCCTGAAATTGGATAATGCCAAAATAAGTATGTAGAAATAAATACATTTTTATTGTGTTTTTAGGTTAAGAATCTGACACATCAATTGGAACACGAGATAAATAAAAGAGTGATGACACAGAATGAACTGAAGATGCATGCTATAGAAGCAGATAGTTTAAAGAGTTCTGAGAAACAGCTAAAACAGGAGATCAATGCATTGTTGGAAGCAAAACGATTAGCAGAATTTGAGTTGGCTCAGCTGGCTAAGTAAATTTCATTTTTTATTATCAAAAAGAACTATATTGTAAAGGACTGCTTTTAGTAATGTGGTTTGTGCTATGTTTTATTGACATTTGACTTCACTATTTATAGTTATGCAAATATCTCATGTAAACTATCCATGAAAAACAAATGGCATAAATATTTTAAACTTGTAGACTTCTTAAGTTGCCTGTGTTCTATTCAAATAATACTTTTATTACTTGATCTACTGAACACCTAATGACTAAGAGTTCAGAATAGAAATTTTCATGCATCGTTGTGCTGACATTCCTCAGTTATGGGAACCTTCACTCCTTTGATTTGTTCTACTGAGTGCTTATCAAATATTTATCTCCCTCTGCAGTATGGTTCCGCCCCCTCTTTCTGCGCATGCTCAGTCTTTTTCACTCAGTTGACTCAATAGGTCTAGAGTGCTTTTTGTTCTACAGATAATCTGTATAATTCATCATTGTTATTATAATTTATTAGAGGGCTGCGTTAATGGCTTCTGTCTTGACAGCTTTACAATTGTTTAAAAAAAAAAAGATCGCTATTTAAATTGCGGCGTTAAGGGGCTGCTAGCCGCCTTGCCGTTCAATCAACAACGATCTGCAGAGGTTTGGAAGCTGTCTGATTAATTTGCTGTCTGTACTGAAGTAAATTTTTTTTCTTGCTTAAAGTTACGGCGCTAAGGGGCTGCTAGCCATCTTGCCGATTTAAATTGCGGCGCTAAGGGGCTGCTAGCCGCCTTGCCGATCTGTCAGCAGCGATCCGCTGTGGTTCGGACGCTGTTTCTTTAATTTAGCCGAGGTGTTTTTCAGCTGCTGAATAACGCTAACACTATTGCAGCCCTCTCTTGCTTATCAGCGGCTACATGGTTTCTAAAGTAACTTTCAGTCTCATGTGGAAGTTACTGTTATAATTGAGCTACATTGTAACGCTTGAAAGCTGCTTTGTTTATTTGAGCCGCGGTGTTTTCAGTATCCAATAACACCTTTGAAGTTTTGTTATTTATTAGCGGCGAAGGAGTTTCTGATGTTGGATTCAGACTCCTAATGAAAGAATCTATTTAAATTTACTTTTTTTCCCCTCAAAGGCAATACAGAGGGAACGAAGGCCAAATGCGTGAACTACAAGATCAGCTAGAAGCTGAACAATATTTTTCTGTAAGTGTTCTTTATATTGCACAAGCATTTAATTATGTTATGTACAATTTGCATCAATCTATTAATAATGACCTTCACTTTTAGATAATGGGAAAAGTAATAAATGGGGTAGGAAGAACAAGAAAGGTACACAGCTGTTTTTTAATTACTGTTTGACATTAACTTTTTTGTCTGTTGTCAAGCTAAAAAAAATGGTAAATATTCATTTTTCTTCCAGTCTTTTAACCATTCTGGACTTGCCCTTGTTGACATTTTGGACACATGTATTAGATTAGGCTCAATAGTATTCCTGGCTTGACTTTCTGTGCCTAAAACCCCACCTTGCTATATTGGCACCTGTATTTTAGATTTCCAATGTCTCTCTTTCAAGAGACAGGTTTGTTTAAAGAATTGCTGTAATAAATCATTTTTTTTCACTAAATATCCAAGAAATGACTTTTATAAATGCCTTCTTCCACTTTCATTATTATTTTTAAACAACTGGCACTCTCAAGAGAAAAGCTTATTGTGATTGATTTGCTTATGTCTGGCCTATATATCCCAAAAAATCTCCTTAAAAACTCTTCTGAAAATAGAAAATCAGTGCACTAGACAAAGTAGTGAAAAAAGAATCTTATTGTATAGTGTTTTTTCTTTTTTGGTTTTGCAGAATTTTGATTGTAGAAAAAACAAAATTAGCATTCCCATCAGTGGCTTAAATTGTACATTACATTGCATTTCACTGCACAGAAATATAGCACAGATCTAAGAAGAAGCTGTCCCATAGTTCAACAACTACTATGCCCTGGCCTTGTTTATTATTTGAGATTGGCCTGATCTTTTTTAAATATATGAATGATATTCTCTTAAATGTATCTTGATGATGAGAGATAGAGAGTGAATTTGTAAAACTAACAGCACTTGCAGTTTATTCTGAAATGTTAATCTTGGTGTAAAAGCTACCCAATTATAAAGTAACTATTCAGCTCTTACTTTATAATAAAAAGAGCCCAAACCGATTAACATATTTATATTAAATCATTGCAGTATTTTAATGTGTTAACCCTTCTATATGTCATTTAAATCACAATGCTTTTTTTAAAAAAATCCAATTTGGGAAGGACAGAAAGAAGGCCTAATTAGAAAAGACATTCTATAGATCTTGTTCTTATTTTTTTGCTTGACAGCATTGATTAAAACTTCATTAAAGGGTGAAGGAAATATTCAATCTGGCCTTTCCAAATGGAAAGAATTTCTTTTATATCTCTTAGGTATGGAAAACTGTAACAGAGTTTTTGTTTCATCCCACATCTAATTGTTTCCTAATTTTCAATTCACCAATCAAGCAGGTATAACTGTTTTCAAGCTAGCACTCGTGAATCTCAGATTGACTTAACCGTTATTTTATTCATCTAGATCATTTTCTCCCCCACCCCCCCACTATAAATGGTTCTTGACTTACAACCACAATTGGGAAGAGAATTTCCATTGTAAGTTGTTGTGGTTGTAAATCAAATCCAGCCTATTACATGACAACTTTTATGTGATCATTAAGTGAATCTAACTTCACAAATTGGCAAAAAAAATCATAAATCTTGTTTATATGAGAGCAGGATGCTACAGTTGGATGTAAATGTGAGCTGGTT